CATTTATTAACTCTAGCAGCTTCTTTGTAGATCCTTTTGGGTCTGTTAAGTAAATTATCATGTCATCTGCAAATAGCGATAATTTAGTTTCTTCTTTTCCTATTTTTATGCCTTTAATTTCTTTTGTCTGTCTAATTGCTCTGGCTAGTACTTCGATATTTATTTATTTATTTATATGCTGTGCTGGGGAACAAGCCCAGGGCCTTGCACATGCTACACGAGCGCTCTACCGCTGAGCCACAACCCCAGCTCAAGCTCATATGTTTTTTTGGAGCTCAACCAGGAATTCTCAATCAGATCTTACACCAGCATCTCTTTGAGTGGTTTGCAGCTTTGTGATTTTTACTATACTTATTTAACAAATATTTATTAAGTGCCTTCCACATCCCAAGCATTGTGCTGGGCACTCAGAGAAGAGCAGAGAGAAAAGAGGGAAAAAAAAAAAAAACAGACCCAATCCTTGTCCTCACGTGTAGAAGAGAGGATTAATTGAATAATCACACTAATACATATATGATTGCAAAATGTAAATCGCTATGAAGGGAAGTTTCAAAGGGGAAACTGATATAGCCCAAATTGTCAGAGAAGGTTTCTATAAGAATAATAATAGCATTTGATCTTATAGCTGAATGACAATAGACAAAGAGTAGGTACTCAAGGTGCATACCCCTGTTGGACAGTCCAGGAAACCATGCACAGTACTGCCAACACACTGGCAGAGACGCCGAGGTCAACATCAAATTTGAAATAATTAAAGAGGATTCAAAACTATTTTTACAATGCAGACAATTAAGTGTGTTGTTGTAGGCAACGGTACTGTTGGTAAAACACTCCTCCTGATAGCCTACACAACAAGCAAATCTCCATCTGAATCTGTATCGTTTGTTTTTGACAACTATGCAGTCACAATTTTGATTGGTGGGAGAGCCATACACTCTTGGACTTTTTGATACCACAGGGCAAGAGGATTATGACAGATTACAGCTGCTGAGTTAACCACAAACAGATGTATCTCCTGATCTGTTTTTCAGTGGTCTCTCTCTCTCCATCCTTATTTGAAAATGTGAAAGAAAAGTGGGTCCCTGAAATAACTCACCCACTGGCCCCCAAAACTTTTTTCTTGTTCATTGGGACCCAAATTAATCTCAGAGATAACCCCTCTACTCTTGAGTAACTTGCCAAGAACAAAGAAAAGTCTATCACTCCAGAGCTTGGCCTATGATCTGAAAGCTGTCAAATATCTGGAGTGTTCTGCACACACACAGAAAGGTCTAAAGAACGTGTTTCATGAAGCAATATTGGCTGCCCTGGAGCCTTCAGAATCAAACGGCCACAGATGTGTGATACTAAGAACACCTTTCTCTACAGTTGGTGTCGGCAGCATACAAAAGCAACGTTTAAATCAAACTTAAGATTAAAAGTTAAAATTCGTTTCTGCAATAATGACAAATGGCTTGCACCTACCCACATGCACTGACGGGAGACAAGGCCCATAGGTATGCACACCCTCCATACCATATATTTGTGTATTGTCAGAAAAGTGATCAGCACTAGTTTTTTATGTAGTTGTTTAAAAAAAAAACCCACCACTTTTGTTGTTGTTGTTGTTTAAAAGCAACGCATGCTTGTGATGACTTTGGGACAGGCTAATTTTCCCCAAGGGTTCCAACCTGGAGAGTAATCTGGGACATCTTTCTTCTTCTCCTTCTCCTTCTCTTTCTTTTTAGGGGGGAGGGAGGGAGGGGATTGTGGGTGGGGACTGTTTTTTTAGTCTTGTTTTATTAATTCATTAATAAATGGTCAGCCCTTAGGTAAGGAGAACAGATTGATTCCACATTCCACTTCCTAGATCTAGTTTAGAAAATGTGTTCCCCACCTGGAGCTCTTAAGAAGGAGTATTGTAAATGCATCATTTAATACTAAACTCCCTTTTGAAAGTTGCCTCTTCTCTCCAGCCTTGAGTAGATCCAGTATTTGGTGAAACTCATGCAGGCTGGTGGCAACTGTCTTGCCCCTTCTCTTGACTAGGATGCACTCTATATGTGACTTTCAAGGAAATTTGTTTGCCATTTCCTGGTTTTGCGGGGGACGACAGGGATTAATTTCTAACTTCTCTCACTGATAAATGAAGGAAAGTATTGCACTTTTTGAAATACACCAAATGGATTGAGCTTGTAATTAGAGAGTAATTTTTCACTGTCAGTCATTGTCTTCTATACTTACCATAGATTTGCAACTCAGATCTATGTGTGGTGTTCCTAGAACCCAAGTGCAGACCTCACAAACAGGGAAACTATGAGGAGTGATGCTACAAGGCAAGATACCTGCTGACTGGAATCCTTACAGATCTGAGGATGTAGACCTGCTTCATTAAGAAGCTGGGGTTTGGGCTGGGGTTGTGGCTCAGTGGTAGAGCATCATCTAGCCTGTGCAAGGAGCTAAGTTCAATCCTCAGCACCATGTATAAATAAATAAAGGTATTTAAAAAAAAAGAATAATAAGCTGGGGGTGCCCAGGCATGGTGGCATATGCCCTGTAATCCCAGAGGCTGGGGAGGCTGAGGCAGGAGGATCATGAGTTCAAATCCAGCCTCAGCAAAAGTAAGGTGCTAAGCAACTCAGTGAGATCCTGTCTCTAAATAAAATACAAAATAGGGCTGGGGATGTGACAGATCAGTGATGGAGTGCCCCTGAGTTCAATTCCTAGTACCAAAAAAGAAGAAGAAGAAGAAGAAGAAGAAGAAGAAGAAGAAGAAGAAGAAGAAGAAGAAGAAGAAGAAGAAGAAGAAGAAGAAGCAGCTGAGGGTGGGTAGGGTAGGGAGAATGCTTGCCAACATGAGGATCAGTCAGGGGAATTCCTTTATTTCTGTATTGCATCAGAAAAGTGAATAGATGAGATTCTCTAGTTTAATAAAAATCAAGGAAAATTTCTTGTGGAGACTCTTCATAAGTGTTAAAAGGGATTTTTGCAGCTTATTTTGGTTGCAATTTCCAGTTTTCAAAAAAGTTGAGGTAATCTTTTCCACATTCTCCAAATGCTAAATTTTGTAGATTCAGTAGTGTTGACCTGCTTCCTCATGTCTCAATTTATATGCATTCTTTTCCGATGTATTAAGCAAACAAAAACCCTTTAAAACAAATGAATGAACAACAATGACCAAAAAAGAAGAATAGGTACTCAAACACCTGATTCTTCCCCTTTCCTAAGCTTCCTTTTTAAATTTGGATGTCCTGTTAGTCTTTTTTATTGCACCTACTACAATGAAATATCTGAGGCAGGTTAACTTTACAAATACAAGAGGTTTATTTGACTCATAGCTTTGGAGGCTGGAAGTCCAAATTGTGTACGGCACAGGCTCTATAAGGGACCTCTTCTTGGCTAGGATCACCTCATGGCAGATGGCATTGGCAGGAACACGCGTGAGAAGAAGAAATTACACTGCCAAACAGAAAACTAGAGAAACTGGGTGGGGTTTTTATTTAACCCTCTCTCAGAACTAACTAACCCCTTTCCAAGGGCATGCCTCCAAATAATCTAAGGACCTCCCCACTAGCCCCTCTTATTCAAGGGCCCACTACCTCCCCAATAAAGTGACCCTGGGGACCAAGCTCCTAACACTGAAACCATATTCCAGACAGAGGTGGAAAAGGCAGAAGAATAAGTGATGAGCAAGTAAAATAGAAATTGGGGACTGGAGATTGGAAAACCTCCTGGGTTTTAGAACAGAATCTGTCATGGACAGCTGTGTGACCGTGGCAGGCTGCTTGCCCTGTTTTCTACTCACTTGTAACACTTTGAGATTGGATCAGCTCAGGGGTTTTTCCGAAGCAGGTCTATCTACCACTGGTGTTGAGCAGGATCATTCTAACTGAAGTACATCTGCATCTTGGTGGTTGTCTATTTTACTGCAAATGCAAATAATATAAGTACTATTTAAGTCCGGGATTTCAAAAACATGAGCGCTCAGTATGAGGTTAAGGTCAGCAGAGCGGATACTTCCATTCCCTGTGCTGGTGAAAGAGCAGGGATGAGTATTGTCCCCTGATAGTGAGCAGCTACAAAACTGAGCAGACACATGAAACTCCAGTTTCAGACAATGGACAGCACATAGATCAGGACTGGAGCCAGACAAGCAGAGAACAGATGAGGTGGGGCATATCATCTCTACAGCTTCCTGCCTAGAAGCAATTTCCGGACTAGAGGCACAACCAGGGAGAACCTAATCAGAGCTCAGAAGCCTAATAAGTAAAGTAGACAGAGATTAGCATTGAGGGAGGCTGGGGCAGCTGGAAGATACAGGACGTTGATTTCTTGGAAAGGCCAAAATTGTGGAGTTTATATTACATGTGGAAATGAAAGCAAAAAAAAAAATGGTGGTGTGTGGAAGTATATTCTTGTAAAGGTCTCAGCTTATACATAAAGTAGTATAATGTTGTTTAAAGATGGGTTGCAATACGGAAAAGCTTTGTGTTACCAACTCTAGTTAAATCATTAAAATACTAATACAAAAAATAATAGCTAATAAGGTGTTAGTAGAGATAAGATGGAAATCTCAAAATTAATTAAATCCAATAAAGGCAGGAAAAGAGTAGAGAAGGTAAAAGAATAGAAGAGTCAAATAGGAAACAAATAGTAAGATATTAGGCTTAGACACAACTATATCAATAATTATATTAAATCAAAATGATCTAAACATTTTAATTAAATGACACAGACTGTGGGATTTGATAAAAATGCAAGGCCTAGCTATATGCATATTGATAAATCTACAATTACAGTTGGAGACTTCAAGACTCCTCTCTCAATAATTGCCAACACAGGGAACAGAAAATCACTAAGAATGCAGAAGGTTTGATGCGGCTGATGGATATAGAATACCCACTGAAGAATAACAGAATACCTGTTCTTTCCAAATGCACATGAATAATTCACTAAAATAGACCAAATGCTTAGCTACATAACAAGTCTCCCTAATTTTCTCAGTGTGACAGCAGACAGTGTGTGTTCTCTAGCCGCAAAGGAATTAAATTAGAAACCAATAAGAGAAAGCTCTCTAGAAAACTCCAAATAATAAGAAAATTAAGAACACATTCTGAAGAATTATTGGATCAACCAAGAAATCACAAAAGAAATAAGAAAATATTTTGTATCAAATGGAAATTTAAAACTATATATATAGTTTTATACATATATATGTGTGTGTGTATGTATATATACATACACACACACATATGTATAAATTAAAAACCTCTCCTCTTCAAAAGACACCATTGAGAAAATAAAAATGTAAGAAAATAAAAAGGCTAGGGATATAGCTCAGTGGTAGAGCACTTGCCTAGTGTGCGTGAGGCCCTGGGTTCCATCCCCAGCACTGCAAAACAAAAAACAAACAAAATGAATACACAAACCAAACAGAGATTGAGAGAAAATATATACACTACTTAAGAATTTAAGCTTGGGCTGGGGATACAGCTCAGTTGGTAGAGTGCTTTCCTCGAATGCACAAGGCCCTGGGCTCAATCCCCAGCACCAAAAAAAAAAAAAAAAAAAAAAAAACAACAACAAAAAAAAACCTTAAGCTATAGAAAAAGCAATTCTACTCCAAAGTGACAGAAAGCAGATAGTGGTTGCCCAGCACTGAGGATGGGGTAGTATAGAGATTAGGACAGAGCACAGGGACTATTTGGGGGCAATAGATATGATCTCTATCTTGATTATGGAGGTGGTTACACAGGTTTATAAATTTTTCAAAACTGATAGAAAGGTACACTTAATCTAGGTGCCATATATAAATTGTACTTCAATAACATTAATTTTTTTTCTTCTTTTACAAATAATGGGCTAGAATGGCAGGAAATTGCTGCTTCTGAAAGCAGCCTGAATTCAGGAATAATTTCCTCTATGACAAGACTGGCACAGGTTCATCTAGATAAAGAGGATAGCAATACTCTCATAGCTCTTGAGAACAGAACAACAATACACAAATTGGGAATAATGTTAGTTCCTATTTCTGTGATTTTTTTTTTTAGGTCGGCTGCACATTAATCTAAGTGTGATCAGAGAATGAAATCATATCGCAACATGATGACTCATCCAGGTATGTAAATGACAGCCACAGTCTCTGGCAAGCTCGAGGGTGGTGAGTGCTTGATCCATATTTTCTGCTATAACTATATAGAATTATAACCAGATATATGATACGGATTTTCAGAGATGGCATTCCATGCCTCAACCCAGGAAATTAGCGCGACATCTCTTGTTGACAATAGGTTAATTTGCAAGTTAGATATCATTGGTCCTTCCTGGTTCTTGGTGCTAGTTAACATTAATATAGGGCTGGGGTTGTGGCTCAGCAGTAGAGCACTCACCTAGCACAGACGGGACCTGGTTTCAATCCTCAGCACTACATAAAAATAACGGCATTGTGTTGTATCCATCTACACCTAAAATAAATAAATAAATATTAAAAAAATGTCAACTCTGTGCTTAAAAAAATTAATATAAACAAAAGACCCTATTGACATAGAACTTCATCTTTACCTTAAACTGAACAACATGGAACAAATATCCCTTTGATTTCGACTTATCACAGACTATTTCATTCTTCCTACCAAGAAGCTTATTCCCGCTGGACAAGGTGTCACACACGTGTAATCCCAGCAGCTGAGGCAGGAGGATGCCGATGAAGGGATTTTCTTCCTTTAAAAGCAGTTGATGTGTTTGGAAATGAGGGCTAATTATAAATTTTTCTAATTCAGTAGCTTTTCTTTCACTGAATATTTTTAGAGTTACTTTCTGCTTATGAAAAGCAGGACCTGTTTTCTTCTTTTGGAAGCGGAGAGTAAGTTACCTTTGGAGATAAATGTATTTTAATGAATAACACGCCAGTCTATGCAATAATATTACTAATAATATGTATAATTACTAATAATATGCCAAAATTGCTGAGGACCCGCTCAGATGCCTCAAGTTTGGGAAAGTCTGGCCTTTTTGGGCTCTGGTGCTTTGCTCTTAGGAGATGGAGAGTGTGGAATCAGCTGTGGCATCTTGATAAGGTGGAACAGGGCCAGTCTGATCACCTGTGTGACTTGATCCTGTTGATTGTCTATCAAGCCCACCTAATCCCTACAGCACTTTCTGGCCCTTACATCTCAGGACTCAGCCCTCACCTATTGGTCCTTCTGTGCTTCCCTTACCTTCTCTGTGTGAATTTCGGTGCACAAAATTCCTGAGTATAGATCATATAACTCTCCTAATTCCCTAGGACTTGATTTAACCTCTTTTCTTGAGCTCCTAATACATGGAGGAATCAGAACCTACATCCCAGGCCACTGAGTGATCTCTGCACCCTGCTTCTTTCCCCCAGGATATGTCTATTTTATGCCAGGTGTAGGTAACACCAAGGTGGTAGAGGATATCTGGTACTCAAGACACCTGCCCACAATAGCATCTCACCTAAGTTCATACTGATTTCCTCCATGACAAGAACAGCTCAGCTTCATCTAGATCCTGGAGGACCTAAGCAGCCTGGAAAAGAAAGGGAATTAATAAGTCACCTTCCAGTTCATGATACAACTTGATCATTCTTCTTAAACGTACATGTTTTTGAAAAAAATTAATAAATTCAACTTTTTAAAAAAAATCCTCACATCTCCTCTTCTTTTTTAATTTTTTTTTAAAGAGAGAGGAGAGAGAGAGAGAGAGTGAATTTATTTTTAATATTCATTCTTTAGCTCTTGGCGGACACAACATCTTTGTTTGTATGTGGTGCTGAGGATCAAACCTGGGCCGCACGCATGCCAGGCGAGCGTGCTACCGCTTGAGCCATATCCCCAGCCCCTGCTCCTCTTCTTTAACAGATGTACCTTCTTACTTCACTGGAACATGGCTGTCACTCTCAGGGCATAAATTCCTGTACCTCTCCTTAGTGGTCATTTTCTCTTCTGTGTGAGCCATGTCATGTTTCACTGTCCTAGAGTGACATTGCTGCATCCAGACTATTGTTCCTCCTACTTTATTTAAAACAATGCAAAACAAAAACAATAATGACAATCACTTGAATCCTGGGAAACATTTGCCATCAGATTCTACTACTCTCTTCGAATGCATCTATCTGTTGTTCTGCAATGGTTCGAATGTATTCTCCAAGAGTTCATGTGTTGGAGACCTCATCCCTGAATTCCCATGTTGATGGTATTTGGAAGTAGGTCTCTGAAAGATAATTAGGGTTAGAGAAGGTCATGAGGGTGGGAACCTGGGGACCCCCTGGAAGCATTAGTGGCTCTGTAAGAAGAGGAAGAAAGACTCAAAGTTAGCACACTTGTTGTGTCCCACCATGCAATGCCCTCCACCATGTTACGATACAGCAACAAGGCCCACACCAGATACAAAGCACGCACCAGAACAATGTTTTGGGATATGAGAACTGTGAGACAAACAAACTCTATTTTTTACAAATTACCCAGACTCTGACAGCTTGTCATAGTAACAGAAAATGGACTAAAGTATGGTAACTCCCTTTCAGTCATTGAAGATTTTTATAACCTGTCTTGTTGCCCACGCTGCGTCCAATTTTGCCATTTTTCTTGATAAGTTAACATCTTCTTAAATGATCCATCCATACCCAGGCCTCTTAGTTTCTTGTTCCCTCCCTTCAGTGATCTGGATTTCCCCTCTACTAATCTGGCATATCCACCAGAGACCCAAAACAACGGGTTTTTATAGTCACCCACTCATAATCACAACCTATAACACTCTATCATTACCAACATCTGCACTCTCTCCAAAATTTCAATTTCAAGCTTCCCTCTGCCTGCCTTTTGTCTCTCCAGATTTCTTCCTTTGCATTTGAGCAGATGGCTGGAGAAAGATCCTGCCCTTGTAGCCTGGCCTCATGTTAAATTTATGATCACAAAATTCCAGGCTCAGCATACTGACTACATTCTGCTAGCCATTTCGCCCTCCACTCTTTCTCCCCAAAATTCCAAAACACTCTCCCTGGTTTCACTCTCAGCTACAGGCCCTTCTTGCTCCACTGAGGTCCAACTCCATTCTTCTAAGTCTCTGAGTAGCTCCAGCACCACCACTCACTTCATTCTCCATGGAATGCTGCCATTGGCTTCTAGAACACTCTTTTGGTTTTTCTCCTCCTTCAGATCATCCCCCTCCTAGACCCTGGGTTCAACCCCAAGCTGCCTCTGTCTACATTCATTTCCTAGGTATAAACATAACCAGTCATATAGCTTTATATATTATCTATATGTCAGTGACACCCATTTTTAAAAATATTTTAAAATTTCTTGACACATAGTGATTGTATACATACACATATATTTTTAGGGTACAATGTGGCATTTCAACATATATATATACATGTAATGATCAGATCAGGGTCATTTATATATCTATTCCCTCAGACATTTATGTTTTTGTGTTGGAAATATTCAAAATTCTCTCTATTAGCTATTTTGAAACACATAATTATTGTAAACCATAGTTACCTGAATGTGCTATAAAATATTAGAAGTTATTCCTCTTATTTAGCTGCACTCCTCTACTTGTTAACCATCTTCTCTCCATCTTTCCCATCCTCGCAACTTTCCAGCCTCTGGGAACCACTATTCAACTCTCTGCGTCTGGGAGATCAATTATTTTAGTTTCTACATTTATATGAGAACATGCAGTATTTATACCCCAATTAAAATCTCTGGCCTCTAAATAGATCTAATTGCCTACTTGAAGGTCTACTTGGCAATTAACATGTCCAAAACATGCTCATTTCAACCTACCCTGAACAAAATATGTTTCTTCCCCATTTTTAAAATATTTTTTAGTTGATGATCACACAGTATCTTTATTTATTTTTATGTGGTGCTGAGGATCAAACCCAGCGCCTCACACCTGTGAGGCAAGCACTTTACCACTGAGCTGCAGCCCCAGCCCTCTCCCACATTTTTACACATCATTGAGTGGAACCACAATTCACCCAGTTGCACAAACCAAAAACCATATATGATCAACTTTGATTCCTTTCTCTCTAATCCTACTTCTGCTCCATCAAAAATCCTCTCTAGGGGCTGGGGTGGTGGCTCAGTGGTAGAGAGCTTGCCTAGCATGTGTGAGGCACTGGGTTTAATTCTCAGCACCATGTAAACAAATTAAATAAACAAAATAAAGCTATAAAAAATCCTCTCTGCTTAAAAACAAAATCCCTAATCTGACTTTGTCTCACCACCTCCTCCCTGACCATACTGCAGAAGTCACACAGACTTCTGCACTTAGACTTCTGCAGTAGCTTCCTAATAGGCTTTCCTGCCCCTGTTCCTGCTTCTCTGTAAAGCTTCTACTATCATGTGTACCTTTTCAAATAGAAACCAAAATGATGTTTGGAAAACAAGGTGATTAACTTAGACCCCTGCTCCCAACTTTCCAGTAGCCTCCCACCACTTTTAGAATAAAATCCATAAGACATTTTATGACTGGGTGGCTGCCACCTCACCAACCCCACTCTCTACACCACCACCACTACCCAATCACTGCACTGCCCTCATATTAGCATTCTTGCTCTTTTCCCAACCTACAGGTCATATTCCCAAGTCAGGGCCTTTGCTTTTTCTATCCCCTCCAAAGGTCACCTGGCTCCCTCCTTTTCTGTTCCAGTGTTCTCTCTGTAGGAAATGCTTCTCCTGACAGCTTTCTATTCCTTTCTTGGCTTTATTCCTCCATCCCAGCTGTATTTGTCCTTGAATACACCCTGCCTGAGCTGGATTTTAGTTGATTATTAACTTACCAATTAAAAAAACATAAACTTTGTAAGAACAGGGACCCTCTTTATCGCATTATCCCCAATTCCTAGAACAGGGCTTGGCACACAAGATGCCCTTCGGATATAGGAACGAAGTAGAGTGTGTATGTTAGAGGCTCAAAAAAGTGGACAGCCAGTCAATTTCTACGGCCACCTGCCCCTACCCTTTTTAACTCGAAGGAGATAGAGATCCTCTCAAGGTCTCGAGGGTCCCTGTCCCTTTCGTCCTCCCGCCTGATGGGGGAGTCAAGTATATGCAGCGATGAACCAGATGGAGGCCCGGCTAGGCAGACCTCTCTATGGTCTCGTTCCTTGGGTCCCTCCTCCCCCGCACCCAGCTTGCCTCTATGGTTCTTCCTGTCGCTAGTCGGGAGGGGGCGCTGTGCGCAGGCGCGAGGTGACGCTGCGTAGGGGCCGGAAGGAGAGCAGCGGCGGCCTCGGCGGCAGCAACAGAGCTGTCGGCGGCCGCTCGTGGTGACTGAACGTCGCGGTGCGGAGGCCACCTAGTCCGTCTCACGAGCCGGCTGGTTGAGGGGCGAGTAAGTGTCGCCTGCGGGCGCGCGCGGGCCGCTCGGCAGCCCTGTGAGGCGAGCGGTCTCCCAGCCCGGCGCCTCCGCGAAGCCCCGGGTGGGGGCGGGCGCTGAGGGCGCGGGGCCGCCGAGTCCGGGGCGCGGGCTAGGGGCGGGGGCCTGGCGGCGAGGCTGGGTGGCAGAGCCTCCGCCGCCGCTTGGGGAAGTTCCGTGAGCCTGTCCTTCAGCCTGCTGCGCGGAACGGCCACTCTAGAAACCAAGCTTTCTCCGGTGGCCCGTCACGGCCTCTTCCTGGCGCGAGGCCGCCGGAGGAGTGGTGTCCGTGCACCGACTGCGGCCTGGAGAAGCGAAAGGAGAGGGACTGTGACTTTGAACTACAGCCGCGGTGGAGAAGGCTGCCGTTCGTAATCTGGGCGCAAGTTGGCGCCCGGTGCCCACCACGGCGAAGATAGGGCTCCAGTGCAGAGGAGAGCGCCAGCACAGCCAGCCTTCCCGCTGGCCCTGGGCACGTGCCTGGCGGGCAGCGAGGCCTGCGTGGGAGGTGGCTCCTGAGCTTCGTCTGTCCTCGATGCAAATCCAATAACGAGGACACGGTTTTGAGCAAAAGGAAAAAGCCTTATTGCTTTGCTAGCAAAAGGGAAACACAGGGGACGCCTGTCCCAAAGGCTGTGATTTTGCCCATCTGCAGGAGCAAGGGGCTTTTCAAGAGGTGACTCAAAGGCCACATTCCACGTGTTCTCTGTCTGGAGTTGTAATTCACTTGTTAATTTGGGAGACAGTCATTTCTGAGGTCTTCTGCACCATCCCTAAGGTGTAGATTACTTTATTCCTGTGGTGGGTGTGTGCTCAAGGACAGATAACTGCCTTTGATGGGAAAGAAAGGTGATCCTGTTTCCCCTAAGATCAGGGAGAGGGAGAGGAAGAGAAAGAAACCCATCCACATTAAAAATAAATTGCATTGGCAGAGCAGCAAGGGCTATATTCCAAGCATAAAATGGACCACTGTTATACATCCACTGATGATCTGAAACCCTGGGCAATCCAGGGTGCCCATCTTCCCTGCATGACTGGAGAATTCTGGCTGCAGGTGAAGGACCTTGTAGATCACACCTGCACCAAGGTAAGTGCCTGGTAGCAGCTGAGCTGGATACATGGATCCTGCAAAGAATAGATGCTTTACCCAGTAAGCAAAAAAGACAGAAGCGGAACAGACCTCAAGGGATCAGCAATGCCTTATATTAAGCAGTGGAGTCAGTCAGGAATTGGAGGGACACATTTTCAAGGTAGAAAATGGTGGGAGGATGCAGTAAAGATCAGAGTTTTATAATGTTTTAGCAAGACCATGTTATGGGAGGAGACCACTACTTTTGTTAGAATATCAATTTGAGGGGTAAGGAATACTAAAGTACAAAGACTGGTCCAATTTACTGGCAGGCAAGGGTAAATGCAGGTCCCACATAGAAAGGAAGTTGTGGGATAGGTAGGGGGCATGGAGGTTGGATTGAGCTGTTGAATATTGTTGTATTTTGTCTTCTTAAAGATGATCAGAATTTGTATTATAAAGTTACAATACATTGGGGGCAGTTTGAAACAATTGGACCCCATTGAGTTTTGGCCTACTGTTGAGGAATTCATCCAATGATAACTTAATCCAGACATGTTTATAGGGCTGGCAAAGTACCAAAGGAGACCAGGCTGCAAACAGAGCCAACAATCTTGGGCCAAGTGTGGATTGGTGAGATTTAGAAGTTGATCAGTTTAAGTTGATGAATGTGTTATTTTGGGAGTCCAAAGTATATGGCCTGATAAGATCAGGGAGATGCAAGAGAGTTCTGGTAGGATAGAAATCTTTCTGTATTATCTGTGGTTCTAAGAATGGTTCGTGAGGCCTGATCTTGGACCCCACCATCATCAGACGTACTGAGGTGGGTGTGATAAGTCCAGCATACCCATTGCATATAAATCCGGTGTTGTTTCCCTTGCTCTAGCCCATCCAGTATCATTTGTTTTCTTGAGAGCAGAGAGTTGGGATGTGTCTGCGTGCATAGCAGTTGACATGTTGATAAGTTAGTCAGTGACAGTTTCCGTGTTTCCTTGTTTAGAAATGCAATGGGTACATGGTGACTCTCCTAGCAGTATACTGATGAGACAAGCCAGACCTTGGCCATATTGTTTTAGGCATGTAGATTTTCCTGATGTCCAGTATGAGACTGTTTGTAAAGTCAAAGATGATATATAGAAAGCACAAAGAGAAAAGGGAGATTTGAGTGGGAGTCAGATAAGGAATGTTCCTTGAAGCCAGAGTTCCCATGAGGTCAAGCATTTGGAAAGGGCAAAGATGAAGGGGTAGTGAATATGATAAATATAATTTGTCTCTGAGAATTATTTTAAAAATGTGGAAGGATGTCTGAGAAAGTGGCATCCAGGAGAAGAATCAGCTCCTTCCTTGGAAATAATTGAAAGGCGGGACATGTGTAGTCAGGTGGGGCCTATGGAAATAGATTGATAAGAGGCATTACCAGGAATGAGCTTTAAGTTGCTCAAGTGTACCCAAGAAGGTTGGCCTTCTAATTTGGCTGCAGTTGGGATAGTCAGAATAATCCTGAAGGGGCCCTTCCACTTTTCTTGTAAGGGGGCTGTAGGTTGTAGGGAAGAAAGGTATACCAGGTCTCCTATAGAAATAAGAGGAGAGGCTTCTGGAGATTGCAACTGGAGAAGATGGGACAGGGCATATTTCCAGAGGGTGGCCCTGAAATAAGCTAGGGGGGGATTCACAACATTGTAAGAATATTTGGTGATTGAGTTTGAATGGTGGGTGGGACAAGGAGTTCAAATTGGCTAATCATGAGAGGTTTCTTGGGGAGAGCTTAGAGTCTGAGAAGGGCTAAAGGGAGGAGCTTACTCCAATCCAAAAGGATTTCTATAGCTAGTTTGATTAAGATTGCCTTTAAGGTCCTATTTGTCCTTTCAACTTTTCCTGAAGACTGCAGATGATAGGGAATGTGGAAGTGTCATTTTCTATGCAAAAATTTAGCTACTTCTTAGGTAATAGAGGAGATGGGTTTGGGACTGAAGGGAGGCAGGTAAACCAAAACATGGAATTATTTCTTGGAAAAGTAGGGTTGCAACTATAGAAGCCTTTTTATTGGTAGTTGAAAAGGCCTTGACCCATCCAGTAAAGCTGTGTGCCAAGATTAGGAGAGTGGGCTGGGGATGTGGTTCAAGTGGTAGCGCACTCGCCTGGCATGCGCAGGGCGCTGGGTTCAATCCTCAACACCACATAAAAATAAAAAAAGGATATTGTGTCCACCTAAAACTAAAAAATAAATATTAAAAAAAAGATTAGGAGATATTTAATTTTTCTTACAGGGGACATTTAGGTAAAATTAAGTTGCCAGTCCATGGCAGGAAGGGCTCCCCTAACTTGATGTGTGGGAAATGGGGGTGGTCTCACATTGGAATTGGGATTAGCTTTGAGACAGGTGGTACAAGA